TTCAATATTCCTTATGCTTTCAAAATTTTTCTATACCATCTACAATGAATGTGTAGCAGTTTTATAATTTTAAAAATTCTGCTTAAGCATAACAATAATGATGAGCTCTGATAGCACAAGACTCTTTGTAACTTCATGGCTTATACTGCAGAAAGCAAGTTTAATTCAACTGAAGAGCACTTTCTTAATTGTGGAAATCATTAAACTCTGGATGAGATTTCCTTTGCAAGGGCTCTAAAATTTTCCTCCTGTATTCCCTAAGAGCAGAGTAAGATGACTGACTACAGTAGCAAGTTGTGGTTTCCTTTTACATGGGGACTGGGCAGTGTTCATGTGACCAAGCCTCAGGCCAACTCTGCAGCTGAAGGAAACCTTTGCGTGGGCTAAGTTTAAGTGCCTCAGCAGGAAATCTCCAGCTATCAACAGAACAAGAATTTCCTAAAACCCAGACAAAAATCAAAGCTTTAAAAATGCTGTTTTGCTCTTGGAAAATAAATTTATCAATCCTAAAAATAACTAGAAAAAAGTCAAAAGATGAAAGTGACGCTAAGTTTCAAACAGATGTTTGCAAAGACTGACAGAGTAAGAATTCTTGGGACTCCTACATAACAGAAGAGTGATACCTAAGAGAATCTCTAATGCTTTAGGATGACTTCCAGGGGCCAGAAAACAAAAGTAAAATTTTTTCTGGGTTTCTAAGTGTCACCTAGCCAACAACAGGTCCAGTGTTTATTACTAGAAAATGGGTATAAATAGAAATTATTTATCTCATGGGTTAGCAGGTCATAATGAATAGACATACATTAAAATCTAAAAATTGACATAAGCATGGAGTATAGAAATATATTTGTGCTATTCAGCTTTCTGTTACTTAACAAAATACCTGAAATATTAATTTATAAAGGAAAAGGTTTACTTCGGCTCAAAGTTTTGGGGGTTTCAGTCCATGGTTGGTTGGTCCCATTGCTTTTGAGGCTGTGGTGAGGCAAGCAGGACATCATGGAGGGAAGGTGTGGTAGAGCAAAGCTGCTCACTTCATAGCCAGGATACTAAGATAGGATGAGCAAGGGGCTGGGGTCTCACTATTCCCATCAAGAGCACACCTTCAATGATTATAAGATCTTTCATGAGGTCCTAAGTTTTAAAGTTTCACCACTTAACAGCACAGTCAGGGGAACAAGGTCTTCAAGGTATATTAAGATCCAATCTATAGCAGTATTCCTCTTTTTTAAAAAAAAATCTATAAAGTACAACTGGAAATATTAATTCCTACTAAAAGGAATTTGACTTTTGTGTTAACCAATCTGTCTCTTTATGTGACTTTAATTTGTTCTAAAGCATAAAATTTCACTGTAAGAAATTACATAGAAAAAACTAATCACATAGGGAAGCATATCACACTAGGCAAGGGATGGTTAGTGAAGCTGGCTTTTTATGAGCTATGAGACAAGGTTCATCATGCCCTCCCTATGAAAATATAAAGGCAAGGCTCTTTTGGTAAATGCATGACTAGGAACAAGAAGTCTGTCAGCTCACAAGTCACAATGTGCCAATTTAAGCATTACCATAGTGTCAGGTGAATTCCTACACGAAGGTCATGTAGTGTGACCTGGAGAGGTCATGTAGGGATGAGGCATATCTGACTCCAGGGTAGGCCCTCCTGCTGCTCTCCCACCCCAGCACAGACCACCCTCTGCTTCTAGCACTATACACCTGCCACCCGCACTGTGCTTCCCTCCCAGGCAGCAGAGATTTGCATTTGTTTAATTAGCCAGGGATAGGAAAACAGCTACCTTTCTGGTGCCAAAGCAGATGTTAAACTAATTTCGGAAAAGAACAAGTACCCTGGATAGTCTAGAATGACTCAGCCCCAGTCCCCCACAGACAAATTCATCTCACTTACCATGTGCCCACAACTCCACTCTCCTGCCATCAAGATTGGGATGTGCAGCACCCTACCTGACTGCCAGCTGCTCCTCTTTCAGAAGTTCCACTACCGTACCCCCTCTGGGCCTGGCAATATGCTCCTATGAGGTAGCAGTGCCTGGCCCCTCCCTCTTCTCTGGTTCCTTCCCTCCCTTGCTGGTCTCACATGCCTCTCTGAGCCCGCAGATCATATCCTCCACCATTCTGGCTGTGCTCTGTCAGCCACTAACTGAGGACCGCCAACTCATTTTTTTGTTTCTGATCTAGGCCTCCAAATGGAAATGAAAGACTGACCTCCCTTGAGGCCATTTGGCCCTCAGTGTCTCTAAGAAGTTGATTTATTCATCTTTAACTGGCTTTTTTTTTTTTGGTACCAGAGATCGAACTCAGGATCTTGTGCTTGTGAGGCAGGCTGCGGAGCCATCTGAGCTAAATCCCTGGCCCCTAACTGGCTTTTCATCAAACTTCCAAAAGCATTTTTTCTAAGAATCTCTTGATTAACTTTAACTCACGGGAACTTGGGGTATCCTTAGAGGCTGTGATCACAGGTAAATCACTATTCTCCAATTCAGTCTTATTATAAATAAAGCTGATAATCTGCCCTCGTTCTGTCTGGTTCCCGACTGTTCTCTTATTTCATAATTGATTCTGAACTGTCTGTGTTTGTGGTTGGGAGAGGAATGATGTCCAAAATTTTTTTCCCAAATGCCAAATAACTGTATCTGAACCTTTGCTCTTTCCTTTTCTATGTGCAGGGAAGGGTCTTCCCTAAGCCCACAGAAATTAAGAAGAAGAGATTAATAAAATAAAGGCAGAAATTAATGAAATGGAAATCACTTTAAATAGTCTTGATTAATAAAACTAAAAGTTAGTGTTTTGAAAGGACTAACATGATAGAACCTCTGGCAAACTGAATTAAGAAGAAAAACAAGCATTCAAATTAGAAGCAAGAAAGAGGACATAATTGCATATATGGATTTTTAAACTAGACAAAACAGATAATTTTCTAGGCAAATACAGATTACCAAAATTAACTCAAGAAGAAACAATCCAACTGAAAAAAAAGGCAAAAGTATACAAAAATAGCAATTCACAAAAGGAAAAATACAAATGACTACCAAACATGAAAAGATGCTTAACCATCTAGTACCCAGCAAAGATCAGCCAAAGCAGTGAAATATTTAAAAACCCATCATATGGACTAATATTTTTAAAGAGATAACAATGTTATCAAACGTGGGAAATAGGCATTTTTGTAACACTTATATGTATAGCTTCTGGGGAAAGCGATTAGAGTGAGGATTGTAAGGGGGAACATTTCATATTTTACTCCATTTCTATATTTGAATTTATATAAGAATGTGTTTTTCAGTGTTATAACTAAATTTTCAATAGAACTTTTAAGTCCATATGCAAAGGATTAATACTATTATTACTATATGCTTACACTGGAGAACAAAACTTGAAATGAGAACATAGACAAAATAGTTTATGAATCTGAACTATGGTAGATAAGAAAAAGAAGAAATAGAAAAATAAGCAGCAAAATACAGAATGAATATAATATGGGAGAAATCCACACGTGCAAAACATTAGTCTTGTGAAGGCAGAAATACTGTCCTATTTTGGAGAATGCCTAGCACACAATAATCTCTTAGTAAATACTTGTTGAATAAATTTAAAAAAATAAGAATGACGTCAAGAAATTACAGAAAACATTAAAAAGTATTATCTGATCAGTAAGGGGAATAAGTTTAAGGTCTCCCAAAAGTAACTGTGAAGAAACTCAATCTCCTTGTAGACATTTTTCAGCCAAAAATCTTAAGTGATGATAAACTAGAGTATTTACTGTTTTACAGCAACTGAAGAGTGAAGGTTCCTAAACATCATGTCTTTATAAAGGTCTACCAAGCACACTCACCAACAGTCAGTGGTCAGGTTGACTTTCACCACAGTCCTTGTCACCAAGTGACTAGAGCACAGATACAGACTGTCTGTGGCTGGAGGCAGTGCTGATCATAAACCTGAAATTCACAAATCCAAATGTCATAATCCGAAATGCTGACATTCTGAAAAATCAAAATCCCTAAAGTATATAATTCCAAAAACCACAATCCCAAAAGATTACAATTCCAAAAGTCGAAATCCTAGAAACTGCAATTCCAATTTGGGGCTGAGTGGTGGGGGTAGTGGTGGTGGTAGAAAGACCAATTCTGGGGATGGGATTAGTGTGTTTTCAGTTGCATGCAGTGATCCATTGCAGTTTCTGATGGAACTCATCAAAACACTTACGTTGCCTTTCAGATAGCTGCAGTTATAAAGCTAGGTCATAGAATTACCAAACATAGTTAATATATGTCTGTATTTGGACCTATTTCTTCACACACATGGTTCATCTATTCATAAATGTTACACACATACAACTGAGCATGCTTGATATATGTATTATTGCCTTTGTTATGTAGTGGCCTATAACTGCTGTATAAAATGGACATGTTCTTGTGTATTTCTTAAATAAACCTCCTTTAAAGGATGTAAATAAATGTCTTTTAAATTATCTTTCCACAGTTATTTTTTTCAGGATTTTAGAATTCATACATTTGAAATTTCAGGATTTCAACATTTGGCACTGTGGTGTTTAAGACTGTCTTTCAGGATTATGGCCCAAACTCCTCTGCAGGACATATAAAGGCCCACAGAAGCATCCCAAAGGTATGCTAGGAATTTCTATTTCAAAAGAAACAAATTAAATAATTTTGTTCACATATATTTCACAAATTTGAAATGACAAAGTATTAGAGTCCCTGATATCCTGTTATGCTCTTAATGTAATCATTAGGTTTGAAATTTATCTTAGCACTACAAATACTAGTCATTTTCCTTCAGCTAAAAGAATGTGGTTCATTTTGGCCAGTCTGTTACAATTTTTCCACAAAACATCTTCATAATATTTGTGTATTGATGTTTACATACATGTTTGTGTTCATATTTATTAAAATTCAGGGTTTTTACCTCTATTTTTTAACACTACATCAATTTAGAAAACTTGATATAGCCAAGTGATTCAACAAAGAACAGAAGTCATGTTGAGTCAGGTATGGTAGTGCACACCTATAATCCCAGCTACCTGGGAGGCTAAAGTAGGAGGATCACAAGTTTGAGGCCAGGTTGGGAAACATAGTTACATCATGTCTCAAAAACTGAAATAAAAAGATCTGGGGATGTAGTTAGGTGACAGAGGGCTTACCTGGCATGCACAAGGCACTGGGTTCAATCCCCACTGCAAAAAAAAAAAGTCATGTTGGAGTAATATAAATATGATTCTTAACAATTACAATAATCACTATTGAACAGGACTCGATTGCAAGCTGGAGAGACAAGTGATGTGCCAGAAGAGCAAAGGCAAATACTAAAACAAAATTTATTGGATTATTGAATTGTTTGCTCCTAAGGCCAGAGTGTTCTGTTGCTTTTATGAAGTTTCTGCAATAGTAGCAGAAAACTAGATCACTTTCAAATTATAGTTATGCACTGTGTAATGACACTTGGTCAATGATGGACTGCAGATATGACAGTGGTTCACAAGATTATATCACCTAGTGATGCCTTAACCATCTTAGTTTGTGTAAGTCCACTCCATGATGCTTACACAACAATAAAATTGGTTATTTCTCAGAATGCATCCTCATGCATGACTATACAATGGCCTCTTTGGTAAACCAATCAAGGTGTCATCCTCAAAGACAAAATAATGTTTCACAGTGAAAAACTGATGATATTTTTCATTACCAAAAGGAAAAGATCCCAACTATATTCCTTAGAGATAAAAAACAGGTACAGAACACACAGAAATGAAAAGTTAATAATAAATGTTTTGGGACATGAATCAGCACCTTCCATATATCAGATTCATATACAAGGGCCAAGGTACCCTGGGAAAGGGCCCAGGGTTTTACATTAATGGAGGATAGTGAAGAAAAAGAGTAGCTCCATAGGATAAAAGATAATGCATTTAATACTGATATGTGGCACTGTGTCTTCTTCAGAGAAGAGTTGATGATCAAATAATTTAATCTTAGTATAGTCAGTTCTTCATACCTGCAAATTCTACATCCTGGGATTAAGGCTTAGATTGAAAATATTTTTTAAAAAATTGTGTCCTTACTGAATGCATGGATTTTTTTCTTGTCATTAATGCCTAAATCAATTTAGTATAATAACTATATTGAACTCAATATTATAAGTAATCTATAGATGATTTAAAGCACACAGGGAAATGCATATAGGTTATATGCAAATACTATGCCATTTTGTAAAAGGAACTTGAGCACCCTTAGATTTTGGTATCAAACTATGGTCAACATGCAGTACAGTCGGTAGCTATCAGTTTCTGCTTTCCCATTTGGTTGTTAAAGGGAAAGGCATTCACATAGATATTTAAAATAAGGGAGTACATAAAAGTATTCTTGTTGGGCATGGCGGTGCATCCTCATAATCCCAGCACCCAGCTGAGGCAGGAGGACTGTCACGAGTTGGAGGCTTCCCTGGGCAACATAGCAAGACCCTCTCTCAAACAAAACAAAACAAAACAAAATAAAAAACAACTATTCTTTCATGACCTTAATAATGCTGATAAACTTGCTGATCATTTCTATGACCTCCAGAGACT